TCCTATCGAGTCTGCGATGTGGTCCGAGAAGGGACCTACTGACTCAAGACCATGGAAGGAACCCTTCTGCCAAGGACATGGAATGCGACGAATTTAAAGAAATTCTATCTATAAAAACCGAAGGACGAGGCCCCGAAAAGGCGTGTTTTATTAATTGAAAGAAGCATGTACATCTGTGGTAGAGAAAGACGAGAAGTCAAGATTCCAAAATAGGAGTTTTTATTGATTAAAAATAATAATAATACACATTGTGGTCAGGCGATACAGTTTCAAAACTCGACTCGACCAAAACAAAAGAAAAGGGGAAGTACAGCCTTTAGTTCGGAGGAGGGGTCTCGGGCTCGTCATTAAAAGGGACGCTCGCCAACATATCAACGTCTTGTTCCTCCGGATGGTCGGCAAACAGGTCCGACTCCAGTTCCAGGTCCGGGTATCTCGCTCGAAAGCGAGCATAGGCCACCTGGTACCCGAACTTATATGTGACCCGCCCTGACCTCACCAGGCCACGCTCGAACTCAACGGACGCCTTGTACTCAACGATTGCCCCCTCGATCTTCTAGGGTAGCACTAGCTGCTCCTCCTTCAGAACCTCTTCAGCGGACTCGACACCGTGGGAGAGGGTCAGCAACTCATCATCCAGCGTCCGGATGCATGACCGACTTTCCTCCAGCTCGGCCTTCAAGCGGCTCACCTCCTCGTCCAGAGCAGAGGCACGCTCTTCGGTCGCGACATCGGCCTCCGAGACCCCCCCGGCCTTCAGCTCCAGGTTCTCCAGGCGAAGAGCAGCGTAGACGTCCGACTGACGCTCAATCACCCGCCCGGCGTTGTGGACCCGATCGATTAGCGCCATGGTGTAGTGTTGGCCCTGCACAAAGATCGACGTTAGGACCCACGCAAGGAAGGATCGAACAAGGAAAGAAAACCATTACTTACCCAGACAAGCGACTTGGCCGTGGCTGGGTGAAGTGCCCCTCGGATGAACTTTTGGGCAATTGGCCCGTCGCCGTAGATGCGATTGTCAGCCTTGAGAGTCGCCCACCGAGAGGCATAGGGGGTTCCCGGCTCCCCAGCTAGAAGGTCGGCCATGTTCAAGGCCTGGTACTGCTCGCCTTCGGCCTGAGAGCGGACGCGGCACAAGTCCCACATCGACGTCGGGCGCACCGACGCCCTCCTAGAAGGGTCACTGCCGGACGACCCGGCCACCCCCTTCCCCTTCGCACTCCCCGAGCCCTCGCCTTGGGGAGTAGCCCCGGACAATCCCGAGACGGCGCTCACGCGAGCAGCCGAGTTCACAGGCGTCTTCTGAACCAAGGTCTTTGCCTTCTTTTGAGGGTGACCCGCTTCCGGAGACCCCGGCGTCCTTTTTGGTGTGCCCTTCTACGGGCATCACCAACTCCGAGACCGTCGTCGTCTCGAGGCGGTGGCGTAGCGGCCTTGGTGCTAGGCGTCTTCTTCGCAGATCGAAGATCCACCATCTCTGCAAAAAAAAACCGGCCGATCAGATAGCTCGGGACGAGCGGACAATCCATCATATGCGAATGACCATACCCCCAATGGCTGGGCTCAGTTCTGCTTCGACCAGCCACTCCTCGGTCATCTCCCTGATTGCCCGAGAAGAGGACAAGATGCCCCTCAGCCGCTTCACATCCATTGTTTCTCCGACAAAGAGCAATGGGGAGGTATTATCAATGGTTCAGAAGGTCCATCCAATGCTAAAACCCCACCCCCGACTACAACTGACGAAAAAGAAGTGGCTCTTCCAACCTTTGTTGTTGTAAGGTGCACCGCTGATCTTAAAACCACTGCGGGCGGTCAGGTAATACCTACCCCACCCCTTACACAGACGGAAGCAGGCCAGGAAGAGGGCCTTGGTCGGCTCGATCCCAGCCATCCGACACTCCCTAATAAAGGCCACCAGATAGCGCCAAGAGTTTGGCGCTATCTGGGACAACGATATGCCCCGGTTACAGAGGCACTCCCCGATGACTGGGTGCATTGGGAACCACAACCCCGCCTTAAAGGCCCCTACGGTCAGCCCGAACCAATCGGGAAACTGATCGTACGGTCGTTGTCCAGGCCGAGGGGCATGAATGCCATAGCTCTTCGGGATGCGATAACGATCCCAGAGTACCCTCAAAAGGTCCTCGGTCACCACCGAGTCCACATCGTGCCACGACTTGAGAGTTTCAAGCGCGACAGAGCTCCCTGTAGCCTCCGAGGGAGCGCTACCGGAGGACACATTGACAACTTCAGCTCGCAGGCCTCCAGAGGAAGAAGACGAAGATGAGGAAGACGAAGATGAAGACGGAGACATCCCGACCTCAAGGTTGGAAGAAAGAAGCCGGGGCGCGGGATGACGGACTGAAGCAAAAGTGATGGCAACTGCTCTAGAAGGGGCTTATAAAGGGCAGGCTACTCCACTACGAGACGACGATTGGGCTTCCCGAGGAAAGAGATGGTCGCAGCATTTAAAACCCATCATAACCCATCAGATTCGCCGGATTCGTCGGCCTCAGAGCTCCCGCCAGAGGCACCTCGTTACCCGAAATCTCCCGCCGGAGGCCATTCGAAACAAAAAGTTTCCCGCCAGGTCCCGCGCCGCTCCACCTGGCTCACCACGTGGCACGATGGCGTCCGGGAAAAATTCGATGCGCCGCCCAACGACACCACCTAGCCTTCACTTGACCCACAAGTCCAAACCTCGCCCGGGTCGCTCCAGATCGGTTCCCGACTTGCGACTCGCCGGCACCAAACCTGAGCCCAAGATCAGTCACTCGGCCCACAGGTCCAAACCTCGCCCGGGTCACTCCAGATCGGTTCCCGATTTGCAACTCGCTGGCACCAAACCTGAGCCCGAGTTCAGTCACTCGGCCAATAGGTCCAGCCCCTGCCCGGGTCGCTCCAGATCGATTCCTAACTTGCGACCCGCCGGCACCAAAACCTAAGCCCGAGATCAGTCACTCGGCCCACAGGTCCAAACTTCGCCCGGGTCGCTCCAGATCGATTCTCGACTTGCGACTCGCCGGCACCAAACCTGAGCCCGAGTTCAGTCACTCGGCCCACAGGTCCAGCCCCTGCCCGGGTCGCTCCAGATCGGTTCCCGACTTGCAACCCGCCGGCACCAAAACCTGAGTCCGAGATCAGTCACTCGGCCCACAGGCCCAGTCTTTAACCGAGTCGCTCCAGCTCGATCCTCGACTTGCGACTCGCCAACCTCCTACCGAGTTGCTCCAACTCGATCCTCGACTTGCGACTCGCCAAATCTCTAACCGGGTCACTCCAAATCGGTTCTCGACTTGCGACTCGTCGACACCAAACCTGAGCCCGAGTCCAGTCACTCGGCCCACAGGTCCAGCCCCTGCCCGAGTCGCTCTAGATCGGTTCCCGACTTGCAACCTGCCGGCACCAAAACCTGAGTCCGAGATCGGTCACTTGGCCCACAAGCTCAGTCTTTAACCGAGTCGCTTCAGCTTGATCCTCGACATGCGACTCGCCAATCTCCTACCGAGTCGCATCTCAGACTTGCGACTCGTCAAATCTCTAACCGAGTCGCTCCAGCTCGATTTTCGACTTGCAACTCGTCAAATCTCTTACTAAGTCGCTCCAGCTTGATCTCCGACTTGCGACTCGCCGGCCCTAACTCCGAGCCGCGCCAAATCGGTTATCCGACTTACGACACGTCGGTCTCATCTCACCCGGTCCCAGCCGCCCGACCAACAGAGCCAACCTTTCCCGAGGCACGGGACGCCGCCCCTCCAAATTGCCTCGTGACGAGCCAATCTAATTTTTCCTCATAAGCAACCAATACCTCCGCAGCACTCCGACCCGAGCATGCCTCTCGCCCCCTTGTAGGGACCCCATGGCACGCCTTGATTGGGACGGTGACTGCACAAAGATACCGTCTCATCCCTCGAGGATCGGCCACTATGCCAAACCCGCGTACGACCGACCCTCGTATAGTAGTATAAAAGCCCCTGACCGGCATCCGGCCAGGAGACAGGACAAAAAAAGATAAAAGCAACTACTGACTTGCTCGTCGGAGGGGCTAAAATCGGGAATCACCCGACGAAGGTCATTCTCGCAGGTCGAGCCACGAGCATTCCGACCTGGGAGTTGCCATCCAGTGTACGAAGGCGAGCCGCCAACCAGCTTGGAGACAGAGAGACGCTGCTCAACATCACAGCGCCGACACTCGTCGCATGGGCCCGACCGACCTCAGCAACCAGCTCAGTCGACCTGAGACTCTCAACATCGACCCGTGAACCGTGCTGACTCATGTGCATTTGTTCACCAACAACTAGTACAAAAAAAATCAGAGTGTGTACAACTGGGAAAAAAGAAAGCAAATTATAAGCTTCAAAAAATTTCTGTATGATCCAGATATGACAGCTTCCACCAAAATTAACATGAGGAACCCCCAAGAGAAGCACCGTAGAATATGTTTATGGCATCTTTTGCCAAAATGCAACACCTCTTTACAGCTAGCCTTAGCCTACTCCAATAGAATTGTGGAATCCATAATCCATATCACAAAATCACGCTGCAATTGCTCAATTTAAGTCCTTTAAACAATTTCTTCCGACCTTTATCTTTTACTTTACCTACAATCAAGATTTTCTCCAAGTTTAAACGGCATCCCTAGATTACACACAGACACGCAAATGGAGTATTTTAAGCAAAGGTCAGAATAAATATGTGATATGAATCAAAGGTTACATTCTATAATCCAACATTATAAACAAAAAAAATCAATTTTATGATTAATCTTCATGCCAAAGTCTCATCAATGTACAAATCCAAAAACCTAATTCGGTGAATGAGAAAGGAATGGAAAAGTATAGAGTTCAGGCACAAATCAATCGTTGGCAACCATAACATGATACCAATCATATTATCAAAGAAATCTTACTGTTTTGGTTACATCGGCAGTACGAATTAATTCGACAAAGAAGAAAGGGGAAAAGAAGGGATGATTCAACAGCCAACGCGGTGAAACTCACATGGAAGAACTCGAGCTGGTCCTCGAGGTTCTCCAGCGCAGATCGGATGGCGTCGAGACACCTGGCCTCCGCCATCGCGATGCCGTCCTCCTCCGCCTGGAAATCCTCGACGAAGACGAACCCTCGCTTCCCGTCACTACCGACCCCTCCTCCGCCCATCGCTGGAGGCTCCCGTCCGCTGGTGATGAGGAGCTGGCCGCGGTCGGTGAGCAAGACGGTGCAGTTGACGCCATGGCCGCGTGTGTAGGACTGGAAGACGTCGCGGGCTTTGACGCCATGGCCGCGTGTGAAACTGCCATTATATATATATATATATA